TTGGTTTCCTCTTCTGTAAAATGAAGAATTTAGATTATGTATTCTCTGAGGTCTGGTCTAGGTCTAAACTAGGAATCCCACGTGGAGCTCCCATGCACTTGACAGATACCATCTTAAGTATCTTCCCAATTCAATAAACATTTAACACCTACTGTGCATAAGGCCCTACTATGTAACATGCTGGAGATACAAAAATAAAAGTCCAATGACACATCTGGAAGATGAAGAGATGGGCTTGAGTTTAAAAACAGAAACACTGAGGCTGATAGAGTGCTAACCTGAGGTCACTACAAAAATTAAAGTTGGGGCTTATGGTTCTTGCATCTAGGCTAGGATTCTGTACTAATACTGGTGCCTAGTGTTTACATTATACTTTAAAGTTTGCAAATAGCTTTACTCACTATGACCTCCTTCTGTCCCCACAACAATCCTGTGTGTTTATTTGCTACAGTTATTATTATTATTTCCATTTTACAGATGAAAAAATTGAGGCTCAGGGAGATTAAGTGATTTACTTATGGTCACATAGCAAGCATGAGAGATGGGTTTCATATCCAGATATTCCTGGTTTCAAGTGCAGTGTTCTAACCATTCTATAACACTGCTTTTCCATTAGGTCATTATTCCCCATGTTACAAGTCAGGAGAGCCTGGGAGGTTATGTCAAGGAGGGCTGGTGTGAGGCACATTGTCAAGCATGCCTGATATGGTTAATACAGTATGTTAGAAGGTGGTGTCAATGAGGTCAAGATCAAGTAAAGGATAATGAATGGACAATTCACTATATTGGGTATTTGGAAGTACGCAAAGAAAAATAAGGCCCTGCCCTCAAGTAGCTTACAGTTTAGGGAGATGAGACGAGTACACAAATAACAACATAAGGCAGAAAGTGATGAGTGCCAAATAAGGGCCACAGAATTTTAGAAAAGGGAGAGACTATTTATGATTGGGGTATGTCTGCCAGAGGGCAGCTAGGTGGTACAGTGGCTAGAGCACTGGGCTTGGAATCAGAAAGACTCCACTTCATGAGTTCAAATCTGGCCTCAGACACTGACTAGCTGTGTGACCCTGGGCAAGTCACTTAACCCTGTTTGCCTCAGTTTCCTCATCTGTAAAATGAGTTGGAGAAGGAAATGGCAAGCACTTCCATATTCTCGCCAAGAAGACCCCAAATGGGGTCATGGAGAATCAGACATGACTGACACATAACTGAAATGTATATCAGAAAGGCTTCATAGAGAAACAGGTGGTATATGAGCTGGGCTTTGAAAGATACATAGGATTTAGACAGGCACAGATGAGGAAGATCTGAGGATATTCTAAGTAGAGGCAACAGTATGAGCAAAGACACAGACCTGGGAAAGTGCAGGGTGATTGGTGGATAGATAAACAGTCTAGTTGATTCACAAAGCAAGGCTGGACTCAAAGGGTAAAATGCAGCTAGGTAATATCATGGGGACCCTGGGTGGCATAATGGGTAGTACGTGCTAGACTTCGAGTCAGAAGACCCGAGTTCAAATCCTGATACAGATGTTTACTTAGCTGAGTGATCCTGGATAAGTCATTTAACCTCTCTTACCCTTAGTTTCTTGAATTGTAAAATGGGTATAATGTTAGCACCCACCTCCCAGGGTTGTTGTGTGGATCAAGTGAGATAATAGATGTAAAATGTTTCAAAAACCTTACAGCACAATATAAATGCAGGAGCTATTGTTATTATCGAGGAAGGCCTTGAATGCTAAGCATTTGGGGAATTTATTCAGTAAGTAACAGGAAGCTATGGAAGATTTTTGAGCAAGAGAGTTATGGATTAGAGCTCTACATTAGATTACTGTGGCAGCAGTGTGCAGGATGGATTAGAGAAACTGAACTGGATAATGGGAAGAGTGATACATTTATCGCCAGCAGACCAGTATTCAAATCTGGGATCTGATATGACCCACTGTCTATTTGGGACAGGATGGGGATAAGGACTGGGTCCATAATTTTATTGGTACAGGGAAATTCCAGATGGGGAAATTTCCTCTGCATTTCTGTGCCTTCTCTGCAATTTACAGTCTTAGAGGCTTGTCCAGAGAAATTAAATGATGTGTCCAGGGTTACACAGCACGAGTGTGCCAGAACCAGCTCTAATCATGAGAGCTGATTGTTAAATTTTCAGTGTAAGCCTTAACACCTTAAAAATCAGAAAACACAAAAATGAAGGCTCGATTTATTGTTTCATTGATTGTCTAGACAAGTTGGGGGGAAAATGTTAATAATTCAGATTAAACTTTAAAGTGTTTCATTCAGAGATCCGATTGTTAAACATTTAACCATTGCACACCTTTCACACAGCCACTATTGTCAAAGGCAGATCTTGAACCCAGGTCTTCTTGGCTTTGAGACCAGCTGTCTATCGATTGCACCACACTGCCTTTCAGTACACCACGCTGCTTCTCTCTCATTTTACCTGTGTCTCAGTTTTACCACCTGTAAAATGGGGATAATAACTGTCTGACTACTTAGCACTTTGTAAAACTAAAAGTATTATATGATGCAAATTATTATCATTAGAAAGGAGAGAGGCCAGAGGCAGGGAGGCTGGTTGAGAAGCTGTTGTGGAAGTCCAGGTGAGGGCTTGAGTTAGGATGGTGACAGTTTGAATGTGAAGTAGGAGGAGGGTTTTAGACTTTGTACACAGTAGAAACAATGGGGCTTGGAGACTTACTGGATATGGGGGGGGGGAGGCAAAGGAAAGGGAAGAGAGTCAAAGATAATGGAAATGGATAAAGATAAGTGGATTCTGGAGACTAGACCAAAAGTGTGGAGACCTGGGCTTTTTGCCTGTGTGAGGAGTTTGGACAAGTTGCTTCCGTTCCGCATTCTCCATTCCTCCTTCATAAAATGGAGGGCTGGACAAGATGCAGGGGTGGGGAACCTGCAGCCTCAAGGTCACATGTGGCCTTCTAGGTCCTTGGGTGTGGCATTTTGACTGAGCCCAAGTTTTACAGAACAAATCCTTTTATTAAGGAGATTTGTTCTGTGAAGTTTGGATTCAGTCAAAGGGCCGCACTTGAGGACCTAGAGATCTTGAGGCCACAGGTTCCCCACTCCTGGTACAACAGCATCCCCAAATCCCCTTCCAGATCTAAAATTTGGCCCAAGAAAGAAGCAGGAAAAGCAGATGGGAAAAAGAGGGAGGGGAAGAATGGAAAATAAAAGGGAATGGGAGCTCTGAAAAAGAGAGACGGTAGTAAAGATATTTTGGAAGTAAAGCAGGGCACTGATATTGCCTCAAAGTCTTTAAGTTGCCAACCCTTCATAGATCTCAGTATAAAGCTGGCAGGACCGTCAAGGTCATCTAGTCCAGACACCTCATTGTGTAGATGAAAAATCCAAGGCCCAGAGACTTTAGGTGACTTGTCCAAGGTCACCCCAGCAGTCGGTGGCAGAGCTGAGATTTAAATTCAGGTCCTTTGACCCCAGATCCAGAGCTCTATTCTGTTGCATGTTTTTGCCTCTCTGGTATAGCCCATTGTCTAGAAACTCTGCCCAATTCCCGGACACGGGAGCACCTGCTTACTTGAGAGCTAGAATGTGCATGGTATCGTGGGAAATGCTTTGGGCTAGGAGTCAAGTTCAAGACTGCCTCCTACTAGATGTTTGAGTTTGGACCAGTTCCCTCTGGTCTTTAGCTTCCTCCTCTTTAAGATGGAGGACTGTGGGGGAGGGAGGGTTACAGGGGATCATCTCTAAGGTGCCTCCCACTGTTTGCATTCTGTGGTTACCTACAGGGCTCTGAGGGTAATCCAAGACCTAGTCCTTCACTTAAGGGTTAACTAAGTAAGATCCCTTGTAAGCTACCGAGCTGCTAAATGATAAAGTGCCTGTACAGGAAGTCACTGAGTTGGGTATGAATCGAATGCATATTTCTCCTCCCTCAGAGGTTTCCTGCCTCTCCACCCCCACCAGCAGCAGCAAGGCTCTTGTTCTCTGGGTTAGCAGGATGCATTACCTCCCCTTTCTCAGCCCTTAATGAAGTGTGCAGTTCTTCTCCTCATTAGGCCCCAGAATTGTCAATAAAAGAGTCAATAAAGCCAGTTGATGGGATTGGGAGAGAGAGGTGGTGGTGCAGGGCAGCAGCGCATCCACAGGGCAGAGGCCAGCTCTGACACAGATTGCAACCAATGTCCAGGGGTCAATAGCAAGATCTGAATTATGCCTCACCCATCCCTCAGCCTGGAAAACAACAGGACCCCCATGGAAAACTCCCTCAGGCCACTGTTGTCTCCCTTGCATACCCATCTCACCACAGCAGGGCCAGTGCCAGCTGGCTAGCCTTGCCTGCAATTGTCTCCTCCCTGTGCCATGCCAGGTGCATTAGCTTCCTCCTGGAGGAGACCTTTCCCTGCACCCCCACCATGGATGCATATTTATTAATTCCTCACACCAGGTGCACCACTGCCCAAGCAGTCCATAGACCGGCTGAGTTCCATGCCCTCAATCTCCATCCTACCCAGATGGCAGGCATGTGCCTTCTTTTCTGCTCCCTGTGTCTGCAGACACTCTGTGTGTGTGTGTGTGTGTGTGTGTGTTTGTGTGTGTGTGTGTGTGTGTGTGTGTTTGTGAGTGTGAGGAGAGGGGGTCAAGGTTGCAAATGCTCTGAATGGTAGGCCCCTGCACTCCATCTTTGGCTGCTGGGCATCTCTATAGATACTCATCTTATCTAATTACAAGAAATTTCAGATAATTTCACAGACTCTGCTCCAAAGAACCCCTTATCAGCAAGAGCCCTGAGTCTTAACCTTGTTATTCCTTTGTTGTTAACCTCTAAATGAGATGACAGCTAAGAAGGGGGATACTAAGATTTTGCTGGAGACAGTGGGGGGGGGAGCAGTGGTGGTGGGAGAGGGCTGGAAAGGGAAGAAGAAGGACTGAGAGGGAAGCAGGCAGACACCTGGGACTTGTGTATTCCACCCCACTCCCGGACTGTGTGTGCAGAGACAGCTGGCTGCTTACCTCCAGTGACAGCCACATGGTACCCAGCCACACAGAACAGGACCATACCAGGGACTCATCTGCTGCCAACCTCTCCAGATCCCTTTGATATTTCTGACAGAAGAGTAAAGGACTCAACTATCACATTTTGCCTTGCCTCTCTCCAGCTCCTTGAAGGCTCCTCAGTGTAGTTTCCATGACGACCCCCAATCAGATTTGGCTTCCTGTGAAATTGGATTTCAAAGCAGTACAAGGCTTCAGAGGAATTTGTCCATTTAACAGAATGTCATTAGGAGTGAGGTTGGCTGCTGAACCTGGGTCCTAAGATGATTAAAGCGGGGCTGTTCTGATGTAGGGAGGCAGGTTTCCATCTGCAGTGAAGGGGCCTTGATGCAACATGACAATACTGTATTGGAATCTGCCAGTCACTTGCAACACCTCTCACTACCTCTGTCTCTCCAAGACTGTAGATTCAGCCAGGAAGAAAGGATGTCAAGCACCTAGGTTATGTGATTCTTTTATTCTTTTTTCTTCAATAAATTTAGCAAACATTTGTTAACATCTACCATGTGCAAGGTACTCTTCTTGGCACTAGGGATAAAAAGACCAAAAAAAAAAAAAAGAAAAAAAAGGAAGAAAGAAATTGCCCACAAAGAACCTCCATTCAGTTCTCTGGATCACCTAACCCTTGTAGAAAGCATAGGTGCAGGTAATGAAAGATCATGGTTAATCTACCCTATCAGATTTCGAGGAGGCAGTTAGGTGGCTCGGTGGATAGAACACTGGGCTTTGAGTCAGGAAGACTTGAGTTCAAATCCAGTCTCAGATGCTTACTAGCTATGCGACCCTAAGTAAGTCACTTAACCTGTTAGCCTTAATCCACTGGAGAAGGAAATTGCAAACCATTCCAGTACCTTTGCCAACAGGACCCTATGGACAGTGTAGTCCACAGGGTCATGAAGAGTCGGACACAACTGAACAACAACAACCAGATGTCTAATTTCTCTATTGTCCACTTGGTATACTATGTATTTCTGCAGTTTCCACCAGTATTAACCCCATAGTGAGGTTCAGAAGAATCTCCAAGTATCTGGCTTTGATGTTACCTTATACATGTGTCAAAGTATCTTAGCAGAAAACAAGGGGTGTTGAGCCTCACGATCTCTTCTACCACAAAAAGGAAACAGGCAAATAGAAGGGGATACAGAGAGGAGGTAAGTTGCTGCAGCCAGAGTAATAATGACATTTTTTTTGGTAGCAACTCTTCTGTAATTTATAAGTCTTAAGGATGTGATTTGGAGCACAGAGAGGTTATGTTCTTGAAGGCTGTGCTGGCAAAATGCAAGTTCTGAAAGCCTTGGAGTATCGGCTACTGATCAACAGCATTGCTGCTGTCCACAAAGACCAGACTCGCTAAATGTGGCGAGGCTTCTCAGAAGATTGACCATCAGGTGATTTTATAGAGTAGTAGGTATTGTTTTGGACTTGAAATTAGGAAGTCTAAGTTTCCAATCTTTCTGCTGACACTAGTTATGAAACCATGGGCAAGGAATCTCATCTCTTTGAGACTTGGTTTCCTCATCTATAAAATGGGGATAATAACTCCTCAAATGAGATGCATCACAGGATCACAGATTTAGGACTGGAAGGGACCTTAAAGACCTTCTAGTTTGATCCCCTCATTTTTACAGATGGATAAACTGAGGCATAAGGAGGTTAAGTGACTTGTCCAGTCACAGAGGTAGTGTCAGAGTTGGGATTTGAACCCAGTTATGTGAAGGGCTTTGCAGACTCACCATTTTCATGGGCCAATCACTCATTTTCCCTCTTCCCTGTTAATTTTTTTTAAGTCAGGCAATGGGGGTTAAGTGACTTGCCCAGAGTCACACTGATGGTAAGTGTTATGTGTCTGAGGGTGGATTTGAACTCAGATCCTCCTGACTCCAGGAATGGTGCTCTATCCACTGCGCCACCTAGCTGCTCCCTTCCCTGTTACTCTTAAGCAGTGCTCAAAAACCATAAGTGACAAACATTGCTGACCTGCATCAGTGGAGGGGGATTTTATACTGGGAATTCACTACATTGATGAAAAAAAAGATCATTATTATTACTTTAGCCACTGCAATGAATAAACTATCTCCTAAGATGTAGAGGGGTAGCAATGTGTTGGTGCAAGGAGTGTCCAATCTGATGAAATCTTGGCTCTTTTGAAAAACTGGAGTACTTTTTTGCACAGGACAATCAGACATTGGTATAAATTGGGAAAGCAAACCTTTTGGGGCACTTTCCTATGGTGGGAGGCCTAAGAGACTGTACAGTACTAAAGCATTCTGGGAATTTACCCAATCTCTTGTGGTAAGATCTTTGGACCCCAAAGTCAAGGAAGCATAACCATTTTGAGGTCACTGGGGCCAGAAACCTGAAATATATGCTTAACAAATGCTTGGGAAATAGAAGATAGTTTAAACTACAGTGTCTGCCAGAGCCAAGTTTTCCTAAAAATTGTGCCTTCTGAATACTCCTCCAGCAATGAAGTGCAATCTTACCCACCCTGCTTAAAAATGTATTTCTGGTTGCCTAGCACTGATTGAGTGAAACTTATGGACACATGTGAAATCAGTTTGACTTCCAAAACATATCCTTCTTTTTCCTACATCTCTGTTGAAATTCAATTCAATGAACATTTATTAAGCACCTAATATGTGCCAGTTGGGGCAGCTAGGTGGTGCAGTGGAGATAGTACCAGGCCTGGAGTCAGGGAGACCCCCGTTAAAATCTGGCCTCAGATATTTACTAGCTGTGTGACCCTGGGCAAGTCACTGAAATCTGTTTGCCTCAATTTCCTCATCTGTGAAATGAGCTGGAGAAGGAAATGGAAAACCACTCCAGTATCTTTGACAAGAAAATTCCAAATGGGATCACAAAGAATAGGACAGGACACATTATCATCATCATCATCATCATCATCATCATCATCATCAACAACAACAACATGTGCCAAGTATTATGCTAAAAGCTGGAGATACAAAGGAAAAACAGAATAGTCCTTGCCCTCAAGAAGCTTATATTCAACTGGGAAGAGGGGGTGTGTGTGTTAAAATAAGCATATAGACAAGCAAGTACAAGGTCTATACCGGGTAATATTGTTAGCACCAGCAGAAGCCAATTACCTTTGGCTCCCTCTATCTCCCACAACCTCCCTGCTCCCCTGATCTTGCTGGATTTGAGATGACTTATTTATGACAACTTACCCTGCATCTCCGCTAAGCATTAGAATTAGCTGAGACAAGTGAACACTCTGGGTACTGCCAGGATTCCAGCTTAACAGGCAAGGATCAGGGGTCCAAATAATCAAATAGTTTGAAGCTCATATATACAACTACATGACTTGCCCTCTTCTCCCCAGGTTCCTGTCCCAGCGTGCCCTATTTAAAGGACTCGCTCCACGTGCCACACGGGCTGTACGTGGGCTACGTGGTAGACAGACTTTCCTTCCAATGGCTCAAGATTTGATTGGAAGGGAGGGTGGGGACTTCAAGGATGCTATAAGGCTCGGTTAAAAGGTCCTTTTCCATTCTCTTTACCAAGATCTGGCACCTTCTTGCCCCTCCTGTCCTCGCCACGCGCCCTGCAGCGCGCGCCGCTTCCTGAGTCGTCCCCTCCGGTGCGCCCCGCCCCGTTCTCGGGAGACAGCATCCTCGGCTGTAGCAGCAGGAGCCCCAGCCCCCGCCCTGACCCGGCAGCAGGTGCCTCCTCAGCCGGCCCCACCCGCTCGTTGTTCTTCCCTTTCCAAGCACACACCTCACCTTCCTTCTCTTGGCCAAGGTCCTCAGCCCCTTCAACCCTCACCCGCGCCCCAGCCTCTCTCCAGTCCCCTCCAAATGCAGGCTGCTGCCACCCTCCCGGAGGAGATCCGTTGGCTCTTGGAAGGTAAAGTCCGGAACCACCTCTGGTACCCTCCCCGCCCCCACCCCGGCTGCAGAAAGTTTTGAGGCGCTGAGGTTAAGAAAGGAAATGAGGCCTTGGGTAGTTTGGGGGTAGGCGTCCCCTAGCATGGGCTTCTCCTCTCACCTCGTATCATGATCTTCAGCCCAGTCTCACCTTCCTGCTTAAAGTGGGGCTGTGAGAGGTCTCTGGAAGTCTGTAGCCCTGCCAATGGTCTGTGCAAAGGTCTGGGGATGGAGCGGGGGTGGGGGGGGGGAGGTCAAGGTTTCTTGTGTGCTTGGTGAACCTGAAGGACTCTCCCATCTTACTTGGAGATGTTAGCCAGCGTGATCTTACACTAGTTATTTAACCTCTCTGGGCCTCAATTTCCCCATCTCTGAATGAGAGATTTAGGCTAGGCTGCCTCTTGGGTCTCTTCCAGATATAAATCAGTGATGTGGTGCCTTCCTCGGGGCAGGTTGCCACTCTTCTCTGTCAAGAGGTCTTGCCGACCATCAGTTATGGAATCACCCTAAAAAAGCATCCGAAGGCTAGTGGGCTGGTCCATTCTTTTTTTAACAGTTCCGACCACATCAAAACTTTAAGTTCCCAGGCTTAAAGCAGGCTTCACCATTGGGCAGTTGATGAAAGTTAACTCAGGCAGATGGGACTTTTTTAGATGAAAACTCCACTTAGAAACTCAAAAGTGACAGTAACTTTTATTCCTTTACCTGGCTTTTGAGGATGGGGTCATGGAATCTATACTTCATTAAATATCTCTTTATCAGACTTAATATTAGTCATGCTTTGGGAGGCGTGCTATGTTCCCCCCTTTCCACTTGAAATAATTGATTTCTTAGTTCCCTTAACCTCCTAGTAGTGCTATTGTGGAAAGAACATAGGCCTTGGATTTAGGAGGCCTCTTTTGTAGCCCTGGCTCTGCTCATGATGCAACCTTGGGCAAAGGATCTGGGTTCAAATACTATCTTTGTCACTTAGTATCTCTACCAAGTCACTTAACATTAATAGGCCTCAGGCTTTTTGTATAAAATTAGGGGGTTGCAGTTCTAAACAAATCCCATGATCTGGGTTCAGATGCCAAGTTTAGTATATACTGCCTTTGTGACTTTTGGCAAGGAAATCAATTTCTCTTTGTAGGCCTCAGTTTCCTCTTCTGTTAAATGAGGAGGAAAGATGGCATTTAAAATTCCTTCCAGGTATGATGTTCCACAGTTCAAATAATATCTTTGACAAAGGCCTTCAGTTCCTGTTCTTAACATTACGTTTCAGTTCTGGCTTATTCCTGTATAGTACTGTTCTTTACCAGACAGATGTTGCTTTGAGGTTGAGATACTCAGAATCCATTTTAATTATAACCTTCCTAAACTTTGGCTTTTGGAATGAGAAGCTGCTCGTACATTGAAGGGATCAGACTTCTTGACACCTTCCTCCACAGCATAAGATTTTTGTGTACAAATTACAAATTATTATTTTTTTTTTGGCTTAGAGGATACTGCTGAGGAGCCCAGTTTCTTCCCAGTTCTCCCTAAGTCTGGAATGCACTCTTCAAAGCCAACTGCAGGTGCTAGATGAGTTAATCCTAATTCTCCTATTTATTAGCACCCTCTACCTCTTGGAAATGCTTTTTATTTCCTTGCTTATGTACATGTATTTTCCTCCTCCCTAAAATGTAAGCTCCTTGAGGGTAGAGGCTGTTTCATTTTTATTTTCCTTTCCATAGGCGCTTAATAAAAATTTGCGGGATTAACTTGAATTCTCCCCTAACCTTGTGGGTTTTTTTTACATTGGCGTCTCACATACATATACAACATATATATGTGTACTATATATACAAACACTGTATATGTGCATACCACATATATACTATATATACATATACATACCATATACACCCAATACATATATACAACATATACACTATGTATACACATATGCTATTATATATACCATATATACAATATATTATTCACACTATGTACACCATATAGATATACTATATATATACACACTATATATATACCATATATACACACCACATATACATACAATATATACACTGTATATGCACACTATATACACACTATATATACATCTATACACTATATGCACACCATATACACATTATATACCACATATGCACACATACTATATGTACACACTATACACACATACTATATATGCACACTATACACACACACACACCCCTTATACCCACTACACACACAAAAATATATGACTATATATAACAGACTTCTCTAAACTCCTCTGCTGCTTTGCTCTGATGAAGGTAGGCCCAGAGCAAAACTCCTATTTGTTTGTTTTCAGTGGCTTTTGCATTAAGCTACCCCTTCAGCATTTTTGATGTGCGGGCATTTTATTGTTTGGAACTGACACTTTGGTAAACAACTCATTTCTGCACCTGCCACCTTCCTTTAACTTAGATTATTTTCTTGTTAGCTGACTGTTTTTAATTGAAGTCTTCAGATCTCCTTCTAAAGCAGGGCCTTTGTTTGCTGACAAGTATAGCAGGCTATGAATGGAGATTAATTGCATGTCACATACTTCTGTATCAAACTTGCTGTGTCTTAACAATCTGTATGGTGCTTGGGCCTCCTATTATATAAGGTGGAGTCTGAGGTTAAAATGTAAGGAGCTCACTTGGTTAACATATTTGTTAAGGACATTTTCGGAAAAGTTTACATTTAGGAGCCCATTTACCTCAAAGAATAGGTAGTAAGGAATAAACATAAGTAAAGATTCCTTTAGTGAGTGTGTTAGGAATTTGTCATTTGTGTGGTTTTTTGTGCTTACAGCAATATCAGGCAGCTGGTGGTGAAGTGCATAGAGCACTGGACCTTGAGTCAGGAAGACCTAAGTTCAAATCTAGCCAACCAGCTGTGTGACCTTGAGCAAGTTACTTAACCTCTATTTGCCTCGATTTCCTCAACTATAAGATGGGGATAAAAATAGCACCTACTTCTCAGGGTTGTTTTAAGGATCAAATGAGATATTATCTGTAAAAAGTGCTTGGCACAGTGCCTGACACATAGTAGGCACTATATAAATGCTTATTTCCTTTCCCCTTCCAATGGTGCACAGCTCCAAGTGTGAGTCAGCTGAGTACTATTTTTAAGAGAAGTGAAAATTTGAGCTGTTAGAATGTAGAGACACTTCTATGTTAGTTGCTGTTTGGAAAGAGAGAGAGAGAGAAGGGGGAGAACAAAAAAAAGAAAAATGAGGTGATGGGAATAGATGACATGTAATGTCCCTTCTAGCTCTAAATCTTTGATCTTATGATCAAACGTTATAGTTATCTTCAAGTATTTGAAGGGTTTTTATATGAAAGAGATATCAGACTTGCTTAACTCCACAGACAGAACTGAGGGTGGAAATTTAAAGGGGGCAGATTATATATCTCAAAGTAAGGAAAAACATCTTAACAGAGCTGAAAAAAAATGGAATGGGCTACCTCAGGAGGCTTGGTTCTTCCCTTACTAGAAGTTTTTTTAGCGAAAGCTGAACTTTTACTTTTGCATTTACCATTTACACTAAATGTAGCATTTATCACTCAGTCAGTAACTGGTACCAGTCAGTCAACTAGCCTTTGTTATGCATCTACTCTTTGCCAGGCGTGGAGCCAAGCTCTGAAGATACAAAGGAAGGCAAAAAAACAGTCAAGTGGGGTAGACATGTAAACAATTACATACAGACAACGTATATACAGGACAAATTGGAGGTAGTTGACAAAGGGAGAACATTAGCATTAAAGGGTAATAGGGAAAGACTTCTCATAGAAGATGGGATTTAAGCTGGGACTTTAAGATCGGAAGCCAGGGAGGGCAGGAGGTAGAGATGAGGAGAGAGAGAGAGAATTCCAGGCATGGGGGACAACCAGTGAAAATGCTTGGAGCTGAGAGATGGAGTGGCTTGTTTGAGAAACAAAGTGTCATTGGATCACAGTATATGCAGGTTTGGGGGGGATTTGGGGGACAGTAAGTTGTAAGAAGGCTAAAAAGGTAGAGGGTCTGGGTTTTATAGGACTTTAAATGCCAAACAGACATAAATGATTAAGGAGGTGATAGGGAGCCACTGGAGTTTATTAAATAGAGGAGTGATGTAGAGAGCTGGAGGGCACAGTAGATAGTGCAGCAGGCCTGGAGTCTCATCTTCCTGAGTTCAAATCTGGCCTCAGACACTTATTAGCTGTGTGACCCTGGACAAGTCACTTAACCCTGTTTACCCCAATTTCCTCATCTGTAAAATGAGCTGGAGAAGAAAATGGCAAACCATTCCAATATCTTTGCCAAGAGAACCCCAAATGGGGTCACCAAGAGTCAGATACAACCAAAAAACAACTGAATGATAACAACAAATGATCAGATCTGCCTTTTAGGAAGATCAGTTTGACAGCTGAGTGGAGGATGGACAGGAATGGGGAGAGATTTTAGGCATGGTACGTTCTAGAGTGGATTCATATCTGGACAAAGTGAACTCAGAGGATCATAGGACCATAGATTTAGAGCTGAAAGGGGTCTCAGCTACCATCTAGTCCAACCCTCCTCTCTCACTTTACAGATGAGGAAACTGAGGTCCAGATAGCTTACATGACTTGCCCATCGTCACACA